GAAATAATAATAAGAGATGATGATTAGATAATAAAATAATAAGATAATAAGATAATAAGAAAAGTTGTTAATAAGTTGTTAACAAAATAAGATAACATAATAATTTCTAATTAAAAGTTATTATCTGAGCATATAGCTGTTTCAAATGTCTATCATCAATGATATTTTGAAAAAATCCTTTCGTTTAATTATTTGTATATAATGTTTAAACTGCAAGTATTAGGAATTTAACATTGACAACTTTGAACCGTGTATCCGTGTATTAACATACAAAGCTAACAAGCTTAACACTTGCAGTGTTATCAGTAAGAACTAACGCATAAACCACAGCTACATAAATTAACTTAATCTTTGTAAATAATTGTTTTTTTTTTTAACTTTACAAAATAATCAACAAGATAGTTAGATAATAAAATAATAAGAGAGTTCGCTAACACTTTATAGAGTAAATGCTGTAGATTACAGATAAGTTCAAATAAAATAATAATTTTCTTTTTTTCGTAAATAATAACCAAATATCGCGTTTTGCTCTACCAAAGCTATATAAAATCCACCTCAAATTATCTAAACATGTGAATTATCTGGAATTTGTCTTCGATCTTAAATTTATCTGGAAATCTGGAAAATAAATATCGCAAGTAAACCGTTTCCGTGCGCTTTATAGATTCAAAACATCTATAACGCGTAAGTAGCGCCTAATCTGTCTCATAACTCAAAAGATTTATTCGGTTGTGGTTGAGTCCATTTTCTTATACTACTGTCTTGTTTGGTAGTCTATTATTTGTAGAAAGTGTTAATCTATAACCAGTGAACTAATTCAGAAAAACTACCGCTCTCATGGTGATATAGACCAGACATAAGACTACAAGCAAAGCATTATTTATTCTTATCATTTCGGGTTAAGAGACTTACTAATATTTAGGTATCTATAATTATATATTAAAAAAAGAGAAAGACGTCTTTTTTATAAAAAAAATAAGTTCAATGAAAAAGATCTTACATGTTCATCTAATATTTTGGACAAAAGCTTTTTCCTTTATAGAAATTTATATTTCTTAAATATAAATAATAAAACATATTTTTTTTTATTTTTACTTAAATAGCCTTTACTTAAATAACTTAATAATAAATAATAAATAGCCCACTAATGAATTATTATATAATATTTTTGGTCACAAATAAAACAAAAATCAATTTTTTGTTATATCTACATTTCATACATTAAAATGGATGATACTTCAAGTTCCCTTAAAATAAAATATATTATTTAATTACTAATCAATCTCAGAAAACAGATGGTAACAACATCTTAACTTGTATAATGTGAAGTTGACCGTTGTCCATTTTATTGTATTATTATTAGCAGAATCACATCATATGAATTCATATCCAGAGCAATGGCCCGGCTCATGCACAATAACAAGGATGTTACGAGACAGAAACATATCTTCCAAGTTAGGCAGCACTACCGTCGGCATTAATGCTGCGCCCAAGGTGAGGTTCTCTAACCATTGCTATGGACGCTGGTAGTCGATGATCAATGCTATAGGTTATGCAGATAATCTGGCAATCATTGTTTCTGGTAAATATGATGCTACAGTTACTGATATAATACAGGTGGCCTTACACAAAGTTTCGAAGTGGTAGTTTTGAAGTGGTTTAAATATTAACCCAAAAAGGCAATGATTGTACCTCTTTTCAGAAGGTAGAAACTGAATGTTGGGTCAGTGGATAATATAATTAGCAAAGCCACCCGGGTCGCATTCCCGATCGATTGGATTGCTAAAATAGAATTCCTGGCTTAGAACCATAGTGATTTCGTGACACACCGTCGGTTTAAAAACTAAAGAAGGCGTTGGTGCAGAGATATTTGATCCTAACACTGTCTTTTAAGCGAAAGTTCGAGATCTGTGCTTGAATCAACATTAGTAAAGGGTTGAAAGCCACCCGTATCTGTATTTGCTCAAATAGTCAAGTTTTCTTCAAAGACTGCTATGACACGCTACAGCAACTGGCGAGCAATAACAAAGTAATGCTTTACTGTGTGCCTGGTTTAAGTTGGTCTACATATCTAATTAATATTAATATCTCTAATTTAAAAATCGTTTTCAACCGAAAGAAGTTGCTACTGGCGCGACATTTCAGATAACCGTCAGGCTAAAGAGCTGGTTTGTTGCCACAATTACGGTAAGGTATCCTTCTTCAGCAGAACAAAGTTGAGGTTTCTGGTGGGATATTTAACAGGGCACCATGAACTGCGTTATTACCTTAACTAAATGAGTTTGTCCGAAGAGAATGATTGTCGACTCTGCTTAAAAGCAGACGAGACTTCATTTCACATTATCTGTAACTGTCCAGCCATGACCAGGGCCAGGAGGAGATCACTGGGTCGAGAATTACTTTCCTAATCTAACATTAGGTGGTCCTCAATGGCTGATATTTTAGCTTTCATTAGAAGGGCGGAATGCTTTCTGTTCGGTTAGAGTCTGTAGCAACACAAAACATCAACTGTGGTCGCGGTACTCTGCTTCGTTAGAAGCCGGTTCATATCTAATCTATTCTAATCTAATTTAATCTAATCTAATCTAGTCTTGTTGATATAAATGCCTTCCTACATACACATGTAAATGTCTCCTGTGACGTGAATGTTCTATGAATTAAAAAATGTATTAAAAACAAAAATAATTTAGGATGAAATTAAATGAAATTTATATATCTGCCCGAAATTAAAAATTAATGGTTATAGTTGGATCACTAGATTTTAGTAATTTTTTAACGGCAAAAATTGATTTTCTAGTGTATCAAATATTGTGCGATAAGGTACCACATAAATGTTATATACAAGCACAAAAGTACTGATATGATTAAATTTATACTTATAAATATAAACTAAAGTGAATTTAATTAATGTAGAGTAAAATATTAATATGGACTAAGTAGTCATACGCGTAGATGTTGAAGTATTGCTTGTATTAAAGTTCCTGTTAAATTAAAAAAAAAAACTTAGCAGTAGACTCCACTACAAAAAATTAAATGTTCTTTTCACTTGTTTAGACGACGATTGTCAATCATTATGTATATATCGCAGTTAAGGAAATTTATGCAGCGATTGAGCTTATGTTCTTTACAAAAATGGTCACAGGCATAAGATCACTAATAAAATTGGCCTTAAAACCTGCGTCCAACATACAGAAACTGCTGTGATAACAGTTCATATTTAACATGCTGAAAAATTATTCAATCGCCTTATTCAGGTCAGAGCAACGTGCCTAAGTCGCGTTTAAAGTTTCACACAAAAAGTACCAATTTGCCTTTTTGCAGTACTGAAGATTTCCTGTCCACCTCGAAAATAAGTATTGAAATAGTTATGTGATTCTGATCTGAGCTTTAAGCTATATGGGCATTTCAAATCAATGTGGAAAGCAGAGGAGCATTAGCGGTGCTAATTTAGGAAAACTTGCACAGTTAAATACAAATCTTATTGGTAAATTCTCATTAAGAACATTAAATAAGGAATCACCAATTTGATTGAAGAAAACTGATGTTTCTAAGCCTCACTGATCAGTTAATACATTGAAAAGTCACAGAGGGTGATGAACATTCAAATAAAACGAAGCGAGGCACAAGTCACCATTGAAAAAATAATATGAACTCATATACAAACAATGTGGCGCAGCGGGCAATTGGATGATATGCTAATTACTTCAATGTTATTAGACTCCCAACCAGCAAAAATTTTCAACCGTAAGATCTCCAGATAAATATGTTTGAATAGTGGGATTGCAAGCTAATTATAGTATGTGAAAAGCCACCAATCTACGAAACTCCTTACTTGATTCTTACTGATTGAAGAAAAACGAATGATGACTATGAGTGTAGAGTTAGATTTTAATTTGATTTCTTGCAAATGCTATATTCCTCGAGATTATAGATGCTGCTATTTTCCACAACTTTTATGTGAGATCATTGCAGTTGAACTATAGTAATTTAGAACGAAGGTAACAACTTGTTGTGAAAATGATGCTAGTATATTCTTGAAATAGGTGACTTTCTGATGGAACTGTGGAAGTTATTAGTAACATAGCAACTACCAATGAACCCGTTATAAGACTAAACCGAAACATGGCCTACAATGGATGAATGTGGCATTCCTATAAATTGCAAATGAATGTCGTCCACTCGTTATTACGTACCACGTAATCTCGTCACGTGCAAACCTGTCAAACAAGGATCAGTAAGGACGAAAGTCAGCAGATTGATGATTTTCTTATTATTTGTGTTATATTTTCGGGCGGAGTTGAACTGTTATGCCGCCGCTTGAGTTATCTACCAGTCATTTTCTGTTTTATAAATTGCTTTTCATTTTTCAATTGTCTCTGGAATACAGAGATTACTATGTAATAAAAAAAAAAAGACATAATTTAATTTACCCTTTTTATTTATTGAAAATTTGTGTATATTTTGATATAACAATTTTGCACAATAATTATTCTGTACAAATATTATTAAGTAAATTGTTACGCATTTATTGACATAGGCAAAGTCAGCATTATAAAAAGGGTTTTGATTGCAATTTTTAAGATGGTGTGCCTTATGCATTGTGTTTGCTAATAAATGTTTCAAATTAAGAATTAACAAAATTGATTCGAAGACTTAAAATTTTTTTAATGTCTTGTCATGTGTGTTAAACCCTTAATTTGGTTAATGGCATAACAATCTACTTGCACAAATATACAATAAAATTTTTATGTAAATACATTTAAATGGTCATGTTTTCGCACAATTAAACAAATATGAAAAGAATATATTAAAAATTAACAGCAAAATGGTTTAAAAGCAGCGTTAATGATTAAAATTGAAATTATTGTACTAATATTTTGCAGAAAACAGAGCAGAATTTGTACTGAGAAGCATATTTTTAATGTCAATAACTTTGCAACTTAAAGATGAGGAATTTTTAAAACATAAAAAAATACACAGCACGAAAACAACGAACATTATTCGCCAGGTGCTTTTCACTGTTTTTTGGCATAGAATTCACGTATAAGCGTCTTTAAATATTTTTCTTCACGTTTGCGATCGCTCAAAATACGTTTCAATTCGTCATTGCGCTGGGTTAGCTGTTGTTCTTCGCTAAGCACATTTTCCATTTCGAGCTTCTTCTTCTGGCGATAACGAGTAGCGGCGTTTTTGTTTTGTTCCTTTTTACGTAATTTACGATCTTCGATTCCACGACCATATGGACGAGTACGCTTCTTTGAGCCATTAGTAGCAGTGGCCTTTAAACTGGACTCTTCACATCCATTGTGAGCTGGTGACGAACCTGCCGAAGAATATGAAGAACATGGCATCCATTCTTCGTCCGTACTAGATTCAATTTGTGATGGTGCAGAATATGAAGACATAGATTCGCAGTCGTCATTGTTAGAGTCAAATAGTTCCTTGACACGCTTATTAACGATTTCATCGACAATTTGCATTTCACGTGCAATATCAACATTGAATTCATTATTGAGCGCACCAACTGTACTATGTTGATTTTGTTGTTGCTGTTGTTCTTGCTGTTGTTGTTGTTGTTGTTGTTGTTGCTGCTGCTGTTGTTGTTGTTGTTGCCAATTATTAAAATTTAAAAATGTTGGTTGAACTGCCGATGATCCAAACTTATCGTTGGTTACAATTTGAACTGGTGAAGCTAACGGAGGAGTAGATGAAACTTGGAACGGAGCATCATTAACCTAGTGATGTGGAAGAAAAACTCTTATTAAAGTTCTTTTAAGTTCATTCTTAACTAACTTACATTGGTAGATGTTTCAATTGATGCATTTGGAAAGGCTGATGAAGCGGCTGTTTGTGGTGGAGAATGTGGTGGTGTTAATTGCGTAAGTACCGCAGTATCAAAATTGGTTGACCCAAAAGTTTCAACATCAATAGCGTTTTGAACTTTTGTTAATGTATTCGGATGAGAAATAATAGTTCCAATTGGAAAATCCAAAAGCTGAGACGAAGGTTTGATATCATTCCAATGCTCTAAAAAAAATTAAGTGGAATATGTTAATTAATAAGTATTATTCATTATATGTATTAGGTGTTATATATTTGAAATGAGTTAATAGTAAATGCCCAAAAATATTTGATTTAAACTCTCACTAACTCTCATGGAAATTATTTAATATTTTACTGAAGCTTCTACTAATGTTATTCAAACTATTCGAAGCTTCAACAGCTTGATGTTCGAATATGACTATTTTCGAGCATTTAGCTCGAGGACAGTGAGATATATATATACAGCAAGTAAAGTTAAATTAAGAATATTATTTGTTCGAATAGCCTTTCGGGTTCGAATGTTATAAAAAACTTAAACATCTTCGAATATTTATTTTTGTTATTGTAGCCCGTAAGAATCTATAAAGCTGATAACTTACCATAAATGGAATCACAAAGCCAAATACATGGATTAGGATGTAGATAAGTATTGATAATGTGAGGATGAAGAGATTTATTTAGAAGTGAGAATGGATTGGAAAGATAGATTTTGGAAGGGTTGGAAACTATGTCACCATGTCACTGCATACTTTGAGGTTTATTGTGACAATAATCATAAAGGGAAAGAGGTGAAATTTAAATAAAAGTCGTCCAGGATCAATACGAAGTAACGTACCCACTTCTATGGAACGAATACAAAGGTTATTTGAACTCAAGTTTCAAGTGAGCATTGGGGCAGGAAAACAGATCGAATTACTTAAACAGTGTAATTCTTAAGCACACTAACGCAATCTTTTTCACAGAAATGCCAAAAAAGTTGACAAAGTATTTCAAAATGGAAATTGATATAATTATTGTACATTCACTTAGGAAAACGTTTCAAATCGTGTCAACAGCATATTTAAAACATTTGTTTTGAGTTATTTTGTTAGTGTTTTAGCTCTGCTGAAGAAAAATATATAAGGAATGTCGATTAGAAATTAAGTAAATTAGGAAGTAAGCGAGGAAGCAGTATAGGAAAAGAAAAAATACAGAAAGTAGAGAAGTAAAACAGACGGTTAGTTATTTTAATCTTATTAAATTTTGCTAACATATGTTATTTCTAATTGCTACATTTCTAACGGAAGTATGCACTAACAGCAACTCCCCCCCCGGAACTTTATTTTAATATTTACTATTCATTTTATAAAAAAATATTAACGTCTTTATAACTATTTTTGAAAATAAAAGCATCTTATACTGTGTTTACACTTAGACTTATCGAACTTATTTCTTTAACATATTTTTACATGGATTTTGTGTAGATTTTATACGCAAAATGACACATATTTCTGCACATTTGTCGAGTTAAATACGATAGTGTAAACATAGTATAAACTAGCTGCACTAGGTTGTGCATAAACCTTAAAGAGTAATATTGTGTAAAAAATAAATAAATTTTAAAATATGTTTAAGTCAATTTAATATTTTTACAAATTGTTTTTAATTTTTTAATAAATTATTTTTAATAATATGTAAAGAAAGAGCATAATAAATTTTTCTACAACCTTAATAAACGTTTGAAAAATTTTATTTCATAAGATTTTTATTGAAATTCAATAAACAAGTAAAACAACAAAATAGAAAATAGATACGAATATTAAAATCAAATTGAAATAAAATATACTCATTGGCAAAGAAAAATAAATAAAATTTTAATTTGAAAACTACAACAATTCACACGTATCTCATAGAAATATTTCGATAGTAAAATATATACTACGTAAATATAGTTTCAATATCATAAAAGTCAAAAGATATTAAAAATTTTATTTATTCACGCAATGAAGGACATAGACCGCTAAAAATACACATATTTATAACATATACATAAACATGCAATAGAAAAGATCCATAAAATTCATAAAGAAATATTTAAGGCATAACAACACACTTTTGTCTAGAACAAAATATTGCGTATAAATACAATCAACCATGCAGTTCTTGGAACTATTTCAGACAAATTTAAATAAAAAATAATGACGTAAAAACCTTAAATAATATCAAAACATATGAGTGACGATGACTTGAATAATAATAAATCAATATAATACAAAGTTAATAGAACAAAATTCCAAAAGCCTAAAAACCAGAAGGAAATACCAACAGAAACCGACACTCAGAAATTTAAATATACATAATATACCAAATTATTTTAGAACAAGTTCCTTATAGATGCATTATAAAATAAGAAACACCACACAATAATTTAAATATTAATTAATAAAAAAAATTTTTGTTAATTAATATCGACTCTCGCAAACCAGGTCTTCTCATAGAGCCATTCATCTATAAACCCACCTCAAAATACACATTTATTATGTATATGACTTCATTGTTGAAGTCAATTCTCTTTCCTTTGTAGTATCTTAATAGTTAAAATTATAACTTATTAGTTATTAAAAGATAGTTTTGTAATTTTTTATTTGATCTTATAAAACAATCTTTCAATATGGTAACAATACTTATAAGCAGTTATTATTACCAATTCCACAAAATTACTTTAGAGCTTATTATTTTAACAAAGTTTTCCGAAATTATAATTCCGAACCCTTAGTTGTGCGATTAGTCGCAGCAAAACCTACGCATTATATCTGTTTTATTTTTTCCTAAATCCCACGGTAAAACCTGCAGAAATCCTCATAATCTAAATTCAATTTTTTTTTAGATATTACTTGACATCAATATGACTTATCATTAGTTCAGTATAGATATTAATATTTTTTTTGCTGAGATTTAAATCAGTTTTCACCTTAACCTGCTCAACCACTTTATAGCCATATACTTTTCTGAACTTTCATGAAGTCAGTAATGCTTAGCATTCGTCATTAAATGGATCGCTTTACATATGCTCTTATGAAAATCAGTGTTACAACCCAAGAAAATAATTATAATAGTTTTTATTTTAGACTTTCAAAAACTTGGTAATGCTTAGCATTCGTCTTTAAATGGATCGGTTTACATATGCTCTTAGAAAAACAAGTGATACCTACCCAAAAAAATAATTATAATATAAACGAAGTACCACCATCGCTTTTGATTACACAATCTGTTCTGGCATTACTGTCATATTACTATTGACCTATTATCCAGAAAAGAGAAAAAGCATATCACTTACAATTAATTAAAAATAAAAACGTTGTTAAGAATGTCAAAACTGCTTGACTGCCTGAGAAAATAAGTGGGAAGCTTTGTAAACGTTCTCTTATACACAGCTTTGGACAGCATTGGTCTCTCGCTTAACTACTGTATAACTACTTTTGAGCAAGAAATGATTTTCGCAGGATTCTGGTTCTGTGTGCTTAATAAATGTATGAAGAAACGAACGAAGAAACCTTTCTAACCGCTTCAAAAGCGGTTGATCCCAAAAATGTCCGAAAAATGTTCTGAATTTTACGAAAAGTGTTACAATACCCAGTGTTGAAGAATATCTAGACACTATATGTCTGGATACTATATGTTTTCTCAAATGCATCATACATTTCTTTCAACATATTTTTAATTATTTTGATCATTGAGCAGCTAAGATTATTAGTAAAATTACTGCTATCAAACGTGTATTATTTATAAAACCATATACTAATAATTTGACATATACTAAAGAATTTTTAACGATTTTGAATTTCGACGCTATATGCTTATATACTTATATATATAATAAGTAGTAGTGCGCAGAAGTGATTGATTCGAGCTTTTTTCCATTTGTCATTCTCTGACTCTTAATAAAGCACAGATCTTAAGTAGGATTGTTTTGCGTAGATAGAGTAATAGATTAAGGATACTTTTATGGAATTTAATATTATCTTATTTATGTATGAGAAACAGCAACAACAATATGTTATAAGCCTATAGTTTCTAAACAAATCTGAATAACCTTTTTTGAACTAACGTGAGATTTTCGTTGCTATACAAATAATTCTGTTTAACACTAAGCAAACTATTCTAGATGACCCAGCATTCCAATACAAATTATAACAATAACAAATACATAGTAACAAAAAACAATAACAACAATGTAACAATGACGAACTCATATTTAGAAGATTAGTTCTACGAATATCATCACATGGGTCCTTAGGGTTATCGCAATGCCCCAATTACAAGGTTTGCATTGCATAAAGTTTTGTATTTAGAACTTTGTCGCAATCAAGTGTGAAGGCAAATGAAACAACAAACTACAATAACAATTCTAGACCAGACAACACTTGCAATAAATTATATTAAGCACTCCAAAACAAAAAAAATGTCATTAATTGATAGTTCATTGCAACAACAATGCATATATATGTAAATATATGTTTTTATTATACGGATATATATAAATGAATTAAATAAATTCTTTGTGTTTTCATACGCACTTTATACATAGAGAAGTTTATGGAGAAGTCTTCTCTTAAGCCCATTAAGTTGCTTTAGTTTAAATTAGGCACAAAGACACGTGAATTTATTTTTCTATATATTGGTAGGTACATTGCACAATATATTTTTGCATTGAAACTATTGCATTGATTTTAACACCAGCACTACTGCCAGTACTACAAAAGTAATCATAAATATTGGCCTTGCTACAACACCTGTTAAATTTACAATAACAAACAGCGTACTTTATTTCATTTAATTATAAAAACTTACAGATTAAATTTATATAAAAAAAATATGTATATTGTTTCAATAAAAAAAAACAATAAACATACATGTATACGGGCTTGGGCTGGGTCTACAGCATTCTGCAATTTACATACTGGTTTCAAGTCAATGCATAATCTCTATCGATACGTTCAAATGGACCTACACAGCTAAAAATAATTCTTAGAAATATACCGCAGATCATATATAAAACCACAAGTCAGACACAAGGCAAACAGTATATGAATATGTGTGTGTTTCGAAAATATAGAGCACAGAATTTTTTAATTTAATAATAACAATAAACAGTGGGTAGAATTTATTTTTATTAGCGAATTCCAGAATCCAAAAATTAAAGTTTATATTGATTTTTCATCAAG